AGAGAGTATGAAAAATGAAAACTCATTAACAATTACAAAAGAAAATTAACATAAGAAAAATAAAAAAACAAATTAATAATAATAATAATAATAAAAAAGTAGGAAATCGTAAACTTATAATTTAATTAAAAAGTATCGAGTGAGTACATTTCAATTAAATTTAATTACATATTCTCCGCCCCCTACAAAAGTTAACAGACACGTCAAAATTCTTGCGTTTATAAAATTAATATTACAAAAAGAAAAAAAAAACTCGTATTTTTCCCTTTATAAAATTAAATAATTCATTTACTGTATATACCCATATATATATGTAAAATAATAATGATAATAATAAATAAATAAATCCCGAAGGTGCTCCTATCGAACGATAAAAAATATCATTTTAAACGTCGATTTTTGATAAAAACGATAAAAAAAAATTTTTCTTTTTTTTTTTTTTAAATAAAAATATTATTATTATTATTATTATTGTTAATTATAGTATAAGCTCAAAGATTTATTATTATTATTATTACTATTATCGGAAAATATAAATAAACGTTTGTTATTCTTCAATAATAACAATAAAACATTCGTGTAAGAGAAATTTTTTTGAGTAGGTATCCTTATTTTACTTGTACCCCCCATTCCCCCTCCCCCCCAAAAAAAAATTATCCCGATGAAAACATCATTTACCTTACTTATTAATTAATAATATATACATAATTCGAGGTCTCTCTCTCTTTCGCTCGCTCGCGTATTAGTCATAATAAATCGAGTTATTATAATGTGGTTCAAGGTAAAAAAATTTCCACGTAAATTAATTTAGAGTGAGAAAGAGAGAGAGAGAGTGAGTGAGAGAGTAATAACATAAATATTATTAATTAAATTAATTGCTCACAATGAGAAAAAAAAAAATAAAAAAACTTTTAAATTTGTTGCGCAAATCCAAGTTTTGTGTGAGTGTGAGAAAAAAAAATTTTTGTTTTTCGCAACTGACAAACTATGCCGCAAGTTTTATTATTATTATCATTATTATTATTATTATTATTCACTACGAAAATTAGATTAGTGAAAAAAAAATTATTTTCTAAAATAAATAATAATAATGTTTGTTGTTTGTCGAGAAAGAACATAATCAATGAAATAAGAAGAAGAAGAAGAAGATTTCTACTTATTAAAATAAATAAATAAACAGATCACACAAAAAAAAATTTACTTTAAATGAATGAGAGAGAGAGAGAGAGGGAAAATTTCTAAGAATGAAGAAAAAAACATATTGTAGAAACGTGTTAAAATCAAATGTTGACGATGATGATGACGATGATGATGATGATGATGATGATGTTAGACGTGGGATTAGAAAAGAAAAAAAAATTCCAACAAAGAAATGTACATAAGAAGAAAAAATCAAAAGAGGGAAAAAGAGAGAGAGAGATAGAGAATGTTTGGGTACTTGAAATAATTTCATTGACTTGACCACATATGACAAAAGTTTTTTTTTTTTTTTTTTTACAAGAATGCTAAAAGTTACCAAGATGATGATGATGATGATGATGATGCGAAAATTTCCAAAATAAGAAGATGATGGTTGACGTCACGATGCCAGATTTTTTCTTTTTTTTTTTTTTCTCTCCAAAAAACATGTGTTTTATATATAAACAAACAAAACGAAAAAAAAAATGGAAAAAATTTTTTTTTTTTTTTTGGGGGGGGAGGGGAGGGTTGAAAGAATCTGAATTGCAAATTGGGGGGTAAAAATCGTGAGAATCGTAATGATCGGTTACACACACAAAAAAAAAAAAAATTCTAAGAATTCGGGTGTCTTTGACTCCCGGAGTGAAATGTTATATCATCTCCCTTATTCCTCCAACGAGATATTCCTACCCCTACCCCCCACCCCAACCACCACCACTATCGTAAAAACTCAGCTGGAAATTTTTTTCACCCGTAACAAATTGACAAGTTTTTTTTTTTTTTTTTAACTATTTGTTGTTTTTATAACTAATTAGTTGCTGCGAATTTATTAGTAAAATTTTTCCAGTAAAATCATTTCGTCGTGGAGGACCTTAAACCTCCCCCCCTCATTTAAAAAAAAAATGACAATGATAATAATTTTAACATTTTTTTTTTACCCTCCGAATAAAATTATCTTGATTTAAAAAAAAAAAGAAAAAAATAATAATTTATCTAAAGTTAAAAAAAAAAAAGATGGAACGTAACGGAATAAATAAATAAATAATAATGATAATAAATGATATTGAAAAATGGTTTATATATATATTAGGTAAAGTTAGATGATCACTTTCAAGATCAGCCTACCTGACACAAAACAACCGAACCTATTCAATTCAATATAAAAGAATGTGGATAACCTCGAATCGAGAGCCCTTCAAACATTTATATTTAGGTTGTGGTAGTCACATACACCAGAATGCAGAAAAAATATTTTATTAAAGTACTCTCATTCTGGTAAAATACGAATA